AACTTTAGCCACAGCAAAGCTTGGCCGAGTCTGCTAGTTATTATATATATATATACTAGCTGACCGGGCAAATGTCGTTTTGCCATATATATCATTTATAATAAAAAAATAGGGGTTGATCGTAGAGGGGTGAAAGTTTAATGCTGTATCATAAAAAAATAAAAACAGAAAAAAATATCTAAAAATAAAAAAAAAATATTTAGGGGTGGACTACCCTTAACATTTAGGGGGATGAAAAATAGATGTTGTCCGATTCTCAGACATACCCAATATGCACACAAAATTTCATGAGAATCGGTCGAGCCGTTTTGGAGGAGTATGGCAACGAAAACTGTGACACGAGAATTTTATATATAGATACTTTCTTCGAGTTTATTTTTTATGGAAATACATTGTCTTATCATTCAGATTTATAAATTATTTCTGATAACTTATCCGGGTGTCTAGGATTAAGCATGGATTAAAGCGTTTATAACATGGGTTTTTCTTGATGGTTCAGCCACCTCTGAACGCTTATGTTCTTAAAGTATTAAGTTTCTTATCTATTTAAACTTCCACTTATCTTGATTAAAGGTTTAAACCACTTGATGCAACCACTTACGAGGATGTATTTTTATTCGTAATATTAAATCACTTGTGTAACTATGCATTATTTTTCAGTTATTTATAAACAGTTATCTTGTATTCTAACTAATGTAATATGCCTCTGTCTGGTGTGATACCGTGATACGCTACTCTCTCTTCAGTCGGTAGCTCATGTCTGAACAAGGAAACATCTGGAGCGGACAATCTGTTTCCACCGGTTTCTGTCCAGCGCCTCTCTTAAAGTGTACAGATTTGAGGACGTTAAGTCTTTCACTCGATCAGTCCCATCTGCTACGTGCTACGTGATCTTTTGCCTTCTGTGTTATCAACCACGATCAATTTCTCTAAGTTCTCATCGTATTTGCCCATCGTGTGGCCGAAATATGATTCGCTACTATGATTTATATAAAAAAAATATATTGACCGGGTTTTTATATCTAAAGTCATGATGATTACGAGACGTATTTTATGTAAAGAAAAGCTGTCAAATACGTTGTCTATGCCCTGTACTAATACTATAAAGAGGTAACGTCTTGTGTTGTGATCTATGGATTTTATAAATTATCGATTTTATAAATTGTTCTACCAATAGAAAGAAACGTTATTTGTGATTGTCATAGGCTATATTTTAACTCTAAAAGTGAATATAATGTTTCGTGGTAGTCGGATTTGCAGAGTCGAAGAAAAAACAGGAACGAAAACGTTTCTTACTAACGCTGCATTAACGATGAGGGATATATGATTGAGTTGTAAATGAAAGCTTTTATTCTAAAGAAAAGCTTGGTAATACCTACAAAAAATCAGCTATAGCATATGTCTAACTTTTATATTATATAAAAGCAAGAACGATGCGCTATCAGTCTATATCTGCGCTGTATGTTCGCTTCACCAATATCAGATAGCTTTGTGAGCGTTAGAAGCTTTATGAGGTTTTTAGGTATTCATTTTTCAAGGTTAACGTGTTACGGTTCCCGGGGCTTGTCGCTAGTTTACTATAAGGCATGTTGATATAAAACTTGTGCTATTGATTTCTCTCGAGGTGGTGGAGAGGTCGGTACAAGGATCTTAAAATCACTTTTTTTGTGATTTTTTTTTTTGTAATCTCATTGGACAAACAAGACTTCCATAGTTGACTTGAAAGTGACCTATTTATGTATTTTGGAGGAATAAAAGCGATGTTAAGTGGTTATCTAAGAGTATAAGTTTGATTAATTAACACTTAAAACAATATTAAAGAAATACAAAACGGGCGGTTTATGGCTTCATGTAAGTATTTTAAGTACATTAGTTAAATAAAACAACACGTTAAATAAAAAAAATATCGCCGTCACATAAATACGGGTCACAACCAAGGCGTCTTCTCACGGCCTAAACTTATCCACAGCTTATACGAATGTATTATTGATGGCAGACACGTACGGAATAACAACAAATGTTGTTTTTATGTTAAAATCGATCGCTTGTTATGCAAATATTCTGTTAGCCGATCCCAGACAGTTTTATATCCTTAACTAAATATTATGTGCATTTAAATGTCTAACGAAACGAGTATTAAACTTAGTTTAAAAGTCGCATTACAGATTTAGATTTTTGGGTAAGGGAGCGTTCAAGTATTACGTAACGCAATTTTTGGAGATTATTGACTTCCCCTCCCCCATGTAACTCGCCGTAACGTTTTTCAGTACCCAAGTATAGTAAAACGTTTTGTGACCGCCTAGTGACTCTTTAGTTACTATTATGTGGTGTAAGTCGAAAATAATATTAACAATAACGTGTAGTTCAATTAACCCCCCCATTGTAACGTTTTACAAAATGAACCCCCCTTTCCAAAATTCGTTACGTAATACTTGAACGCTCCCTAAGAAGTAGGTGATAAGACATATTGTAGCAGTCGATCTTAGACGGTTTTCTCCTAATTGATAAACTCAAACCTCCAAATATCTTTATTCATATAGGTAAACAAGTAGGTACACTTAGGAACGTCAAAAAAGAAGTTGAATTAATTGTAAATTTACATTTACAGTTCGCAAGTCAAGGGCGTAGAGCGGGCAAGAAGAACTGGCAAGATACTTTCCGCCACTCTTTTTAATCGCTAACTTTTGAGTCATACAAATAGATCTAATTTTATTGGAAGGAGGTCCCTCCGGGGGGCCTGGGGGGGGGAGGGGGTTTTCCCTCCCCCCCCCCCCCAAAAAAAAAAAATAATAAACCCCAAAAAAAACCCCCCTACTTAAGTATATTTTCTCCCTTTTATATATTTTTTATTTATTCTACATTAAGTAAGGGGTGGTTTTTAGAGGACGCAAATGGACTGTAGGGGTAATACAAGTTTAACTCCAAGTTTGTGGGGTTGGCGTGTTGTTGTACCCCGGCGCATCTTGATAAAGGGTCCAAAATCTAAACTATCAATCGTACATAAACTTTAAAGACACATTTTGTGAAGCAGTTCACGATTATGTCTTTACTTATCATAAATCCAAAATTCAAAAAGAAGTTGATAGGGTAACTGACAAGCCGACAAAAAGCAGTTTTACTTACTTTAATATCTCTCGTTTATTTAATTTCTAATTTTTAATTTTTTATTGGTAGTGGCCTATTCCACAGACAACTTGCTATTGTAATCTTCGTCATAATAAGAGGCGACATAAAAAGACATTTTTTTTTTTTCTCAAAATTATTACAAGTTTTATGTTGGAACTGGAGCCAAAAATCAAACCGCAAGGGATTAGGATCATTTTAAGTAGTTTCGTAAAATTTCAAATAAAAAGTTTTATTGATTATTTTACGTATGATAAAAACAAGGGCTGATTTCTCTTTTGTTTATAAAAATTTGCCAAAAAATGTTAACAAATTTTGCTTCGATTATAAAAATTTTCAACACTGGTGCACGGCTGCGTCCTCTAAAAACAGGTAGGCCAAAAATGTCACAATGGACTAAAGGACACCGTCCACTACACCCACATGGAATGACGTAACAAGGTGTTAATTTTTAGTAATTTTATTCCTTTTATAATATATCTTAGAATTATCGCAATAAAACATATGACCGTTTAGAGTTCACTGAACTTATCAAACCATCTGTTTATTTAGGACACATTTGCAAGTTTAAAATTTACAGTGCCATATAATAAGACGATGAAAATACGTTGTGTAAATTGCATTTAACAAGAATGAATTGTATGTGAGCTACACTTACTATTCAGTAGGTTTTTAATTGCGACTACCTATTTACTGTGGCGGAGCTTTTGACCGCGCTAAGCAAATATTTGTTGAAGTGAGGGCATGATCGCGCCATTGTACAAGTTCCCCGACTAACTAATATTTAATTAGAGGCTATGGTGTCGCACCTCCGTATGCGCATGCGTGATGAAGCGGCCGACCGGCAAAGGGCCCGCGGCGAATACTGTTTGCTCTTCCATTCATGTTACCGTCCAGTGATTAGTCAGATTATGTGCTTGGAACACAAATAACTACCTCGTTATGCTGGCTTATACGCATTGTTTGTTCTTGTCTTAATAATAACCTCTGATAATTGCGCCCGAAATTATTACACAATGTTTAATGTTAGATTAACTTACAAATCGTGTTTTAATAGTTCATTGTTTACGTAAAGGTGGGTTTTTTTATCAAACATTACTGTTACGTAGCTTTTTATTTATTCATTTACACTTCGTTACATTTATAGAAAAACAAATAACATAATACATAAATATTATAAGGGATGCTACTAGCTAGGGCTAGTAAGGTAATAAGGTAGGTATACTAAAAAAAGAAAAACAACAATAAGTGCATAACCAAATCTTAATATAAAAAAATATATAGATTCACCAACCTTAATCTAAAATAATAAAAAAAAGTAATAAAATAAACTAAAAACTAAAACGCTAATCTCAGGGATTCGTGAATTGCGATGCAATACAAAAGAATAAGAAATACAAGAATTACAAAAATCACTATTGAGCAGGATAAGATATGGTTAATAAATGTTTATGTAAAAGAGTTTTTAAATATGTTAGGGAGATAGCCAATCGTATGGAGTCGGGCAGCCTATTCCACAACTTAATGGCGGAGAGAGAAGGATGAGCTGTGAGATGGAATTTCCAAAAAGCATCTATTAGACGTGCGTAACATTTGCTAGAGCGCGAGATAGAAGATGGACGCTAAAAATAAGAGAATGGGCTGGACCTACTGGAAAGAGATGTATATAGGACGACAAAAGAAAACATGGAAAAATATGAAGGGGGTTTAAAGGGCCATACAAGAACTTGACCACTAAAAAAGAAAAAAGATATCTAACGTTGTATGGATTAATAAAGCTTTAATAATAATAATAACATAGTTAAAGGGATCTCAGAATTTGAATTCATTTTTAAAAACGTTTTAAATAAATTAATATAAAAAATGTTTGTTCACAGTTACCATACACGCTGCGAGTGGATGTCATCTCTCATCCCGAGGCTTTACACCCGCCAACCTTCAGTATTCCAAGTACTGGCCTGGTGCCAACTGAACCACAAACGTGGCAAGTGGATCTGCCCTGTACACACACGGTAGCAGCTGAAGTGGACGTCACCATCGCCCTTAACATCTCCACTGGCTCATCATCCACGACATTACATTTTAGGAGACGTAAAATATGCCTTAAAGATGCTCCACGACCCGCTGTAAGAGTGGATAATGCACCTCATGCTCCTACCTCTGCTGATATATTCTACGCTGGGGCTGGTTGTGCTGGTGGAGTCATTATTTTAGCAGCGGTCGCAGCAGTGGCTTGTCGAGCTCGCGCCAGAAAACTTCGGAGAGCAAGAAGCGATGAGCAAGATGCTCACGCTTTCTTACCAGACTCTTCATGCAAATCTGCAGCTAGCTATACAAGCTATCGGCGTCCAACGTCTTTACCGCCGGTTGCTCCTGAAGAAAGGGCTAGAGATCTCCAACAAAGAATAGCAGAGTTGACAATACAAAGATGTCGAGTGAGGCTACGATCAGTGGCGATGGAAGGCACCTTCGGTCGTGTATACAGAGGAACATATGCAGACGAAGATGGCAGGGAACAAGAAGTGTTAGTCAAAACGGTGGCTGAACATGCATCACAAGTACAGGTAAATTCAATAGCTAATTTATTAATGTTTTTGGATACTGTATTCGTATATTTTTTTGGTTAAAGGAATTTTCATGATTTAGCTGAACTACATCAAATTCTTGCTGACAAAAGATTACACGTTTGATGTTAGATTTGTAGAAGCGATGACTGCTTCATACTTCATACTTCAAACTCCAAATCATGCAAAGTAAGCCTACCATTTGACTGGGCCATATTCTATTGAACATTTCTTTTAGGTGTCACTACTTCTTCAAGAAGGCTGCATGCTGTACGGGCTTCATCATGAGCGGGTCCTATCCGTTCTGGGTGTCAGCATTGAAGACCAGACGGCACCATTCATTCTGTACCCCTGGGGTCCAACCTGGAGAAACCTAAAGCAGTTCCTATTAGCATGTCGAGGAGTTACAGTAGGTGGGGCCACGGGTGCTCCGCCCCCTCCATTAACAACTCAACACGTGGTCAGAATGGCACTTCACGCCTTGGATGGACTTTCCTATCTACATTCGCAACACGTACTGCATAAGGACATCGCTGCAAGGAATTGCGTGTAAGTAAAAGCTTCCTGTAAAGTAATGTGTACTGCATAATTGATAGGTATTTGTTAAGCTCTTTCCTACGAAAGCTTTTGTTGTTGTTCGATATTGTCAATGTTTGACTAACTTTTAATGTATAATTTAAAAGAACATTTAAAATCTTCTATTTTATCTAGACATCATTCGTAATCATTCCGAAAAAATCAATTTGGACAATAAATCTGAAAATATACCCATATTTTAACACTATTGATTAGGTATTTTTCTATGTCTATACTTAAAGTACAGTGTTGGCTTAGTGGCTTCAGAGTGCGACTCCCATCACTGATGCCGTAGGTTCGATCCCGCCTGTGACCAACGCACTTTCTATGTGCGCATTTATCATACGCTCGAACGGTGAAGGAAAACATCGTGAGGAAACCGGCTTGCCCTAGACCCAAAAAGTCGACGGCGTTTGTTAGACACAGAAAGCTGATCACCTACTTGCCTATTAGATTAAGATAACTAAACAGATGAAATCTGATGCCCAGACCTAAACATTTTGTCGCGCCACTGATTTTTTATTTTATTTTGTATACTCAAAGTACACCATTGCTTTGCTTAATATATTCTAAAAATAAATGTTTGTCAACAGAGTTGACGAGAATCTACGTGTCATGATAGGAGACAACGCGTTATGTAGAGACCTCTTCCCAGCTGACTACCACTGTTTAGGAGATAATGAAAACAGACCCATCAAATGGCTGGCTCTTGAGACACTCTCAAAGAAGCAGTTCAGTCCAGCATCAGATGTATGGGCGTTGGGAGTACTTCTATGGGAATTGACGACGCTGGCACATCAGCCATATGCGGAAGTCGATCCATTTGAAGTAGCTGCGTATTTGAGGGACGGTTATAGGTTGCAGCAACCGGCCAATTGTCCGGACGAATTGTGAGTACAGTGATTCATTAAAATTATTAATTTACCCTATCTCATACACATAAAAATCTTTATTACTTTTGAAAATAAATAAATATACAAAACATTTATGGAAAGTTATTTTGGAATTTTGATTTTGTTATATAACTATGCTATAAATCACAAAAACGTTTGGAAATTTTGATATTTGGAAGTTGGTTGATTGAGATAATAAATTAATTCAGAACAAATATCTATCGCCTATTGAGACCAGACTCCACCGCTATTAAAATTATTAAAAGACTTTATAAAATAATTTACCTTTCAGTTGTTGCTTTAATAGCGCAGCAAGTGACATACAGAACGTTAGCATTAGTTGACAAAAACAAACAGTAATCTTATTGGTTGATGATTTAATTAAACATTCTAATAATAATTTTCCCCCCAGGTTCGCAGTAATGGCCTACTGTTGGGCTATGTCACCCGACGACAGACCAACGCTACCACAACTGCAAATATTTTTACGTGACTTCCACGCTCAACTTACGAGATTCGTCTAGAGAACGTTTAACCAAAGACAATAGTGATGTGTCAGTGCGTTACCAATGGCCTTAGCCTTAAGGTTTTACAGTAACTGTAGCACTTTGCGATAGATTTTTCGTAATACGGTTTTCAACACGAAATTTATTCGACCAATGCACGTTAGTGCTTCCGTTTAGTTATAAAACAGACTCTTTGTAACCATGGTTACTGTGTACGTAACCATGGCAACACGGTATTCGTTTTATAACGCCATGTGTTCAGTTGTTATATTGATGTGTTCTACCGACTGGTAAATCAGAGATTTTTAGCGTAGACAGTGCTTGTGAGTTTTTGCACTACGTACTTGAATCTGACATATAACTGAAGACTTTTAAGGAAGACTAAGCTAAGGCCCAGGATAATGCTGTAAGACTGATAGTGTAATTTAGATATCAACACGTGTTTTTGCTTCTGTTCTTGGTACAGATCATATCGTATAAGAATCACTGTGTTATTGGTTGAAATTTACCATAACTTTTTTGGCACAGTCTATTTCTGACTACATAATGTCAGAAATATCAATTTTTATTTGGAATTTTATTTGTTTAACAACTTTTTTAATTGCTACACATAACAAATACGTAATCTTTACCGAATGTATAAACGATCTCCATAATTTGAAAGAAATGTAGTTTTTAATCCAGATCTGTAACTACTTTTAAGAAAATTTTGACATCTTTTTCTGCTGCTAATAGGTTTGGTAAGCTTTGGGTCAAATGGTAACCGTCGCCGTTTGTCATATCACGCACAAAGCTACGAAATCCTTTCCGTGGTTAAAATAATAACTGAAAATTTAATCTTAAGGATATTTTCCAATCACTCGTGATTCTAGTAAAAACTTCATTTCATTCAAATATGATACGTAAAAGGCTATATAGCTTTTGGAACCTTAATTCGGTAAATATGACGTATTTGTATGTAAAACAATTTAAACTACCCAATTGACACAGAAATTTTGGCGCTTCGCCGTAATTCAGAACACAAGCAAAAATATGTGGTTCGTTACTGCCATATTAGAAATAAATGTAAATAAATATTGATGTGCCTCAAATATTGTAAATTTTATATTACAAGACAATATAAATGTATGATTGTTGGGAACGGGAACCATTTGGAGGGAGAATGCTGGAGGCAAAGTTTCACGTAATACTTATTAAATTAAATTCATAAAAATATATCAAACGCACAGTTCTAACAAGCGCTGTCTTTGTTTTCATCATCGTAAATACGAAAGGAAAGAGACGAAAGAAGTACTTTAAATGTGTACTGATTTCGTTCTGAAAGGCGAGTGGCTCATGAAATAAAAAGTAATTTAGACTTAGAGCCAAGTGTGATTCCTGTCAAAATTGTATTGGATTTTGCCTACCCTCAAAACAAAAATGTAAAATTATTTGTGTTTTTAATATTAGCTATACTTAATACTAGTTTTCGTTCATTGTTATACTTAATTCAAATATTTTAAAAAAATGCATTTAAGTTTTTTTTATGAACTGGGGGCAAACTGGCAGGATGGTCACACACTGCCAAATGGCTCGCAAGTGTGTTGCCGGCGTTTTAAAAATTGCTATATTTTTCATAATGGACCTTAAGTCGTATTAGTTCATCATTCATCAGGCAGCTGGTTCCACATAGTGGCAGTGCACGGCAAAAACTGCCTTAAAAAACGCTGAGTTGTGGAACGAAGGACGTCCATGTGATACGGGTGAAATAATTTTTCTCTACAGTTTTCCTTCCAGGTGGTGTTAAAACCCATTCTATATATTAAGTGCCAAAATTGTGCCAATTTTGGAAAACCCAATAGAAATATCAACAAATTATCTGTTTAGCTTAAGAAAGTTTAGCATTTTGGTAAATCGGTTTATTAAGACACACCATTATTAGTAGCCAGCAGAAAATTTAGCGCCGAAAGTTGTTGTAACTTTTAATTTGCTTATAATAAATGTTTCTTTTTAATAAATTAATAATTTTATTTATCCTGTGTGTGAAGTAAGTTTGAGTTTTTGAAGTAAAAAAATATGTGGCGCGTCTTAATGAAACTTATAAAAATATCGAGAATTGTACGAAAAATTATGAAGACATGTATAAACGCTATAGATAATTTATTTCTTATGTAAGTACATAAAAGACTTAATGTATATGTAATGTAGCTATGTATATTTGTAAATATTTTGTTAATTATGTCAATATACGAGTGATTATATTGAATACTGTCTTTTTCTTCGTTGTATCAGTGACGTAGTCTTAATAGTTACAAGGATTTTGGAACTTGAAATATCCCATGGCACATTAGTGAGTCTGTATTTTTAGACGATCAGCTTGTGATTTCTCTAATTAAAAATTAGTGTACGGTGAACTAACGGTATGAAATTTGGGGCTCATTTGAAGTAGGTGAGTCGCACACGCAACAATGAAATATCGCTTCATGTTCCTTACCAAAATAATGTTTTTTCACATTATTTCATAGTTAGACGGGCAATTTTTGACAAATACAGGCTACTAAAACAATTATCAGTAAGAACTATGATATTCTGTAAGGTTTTGTTGCTTGTCTTTTGTCTACGAATTTCAAGAAAAATTTAAGATCCGCCAATGATTTAAATCACACTCACTTGGCTGCGACCCAAAAAGTGTATGTGAGAATCAGTTTCAGTAAAATCGGTTTAGTAGTTTAAAAAAAAAGAAACCACACTATTGTAGAATCTTTTAATTTTATATCTCATAGATTGGATAATGTTTCTGGTTTATAGAAGCAATGAAACACAATTACGAATATTCTTTTCACAGTCGTTATTTTATGAAATATTTCAGACCAGTTTGAAAAGCAGTCGTGGCCGAGCGGTTAAGGCGTCTGACTAGAAATCAGATTCCCTCTGGGAGCGTAGGTTCGAATCCTACCGACTGCGAATAACTTTTTATATTAAGCCATTTTATTTTTAGAAAAAAAAAATATTTTTATAAATGTTAGGAATCCTCAATATTCGACTATTTATATTATACAAATACTTCTCCTTATTGTCATAGATTGGTTTGTTGGCATCAGCCATTTAATATCGACATTGAGAGTCTACTGTTTAAAGGCTTCTGCTTAGTTAGACCGCTCAATCGAACTGAGGGCCACACCAACCAGTTCCTGTATTTAAGCAACCAGCATTTGTAATTCCAGTTTCGTGACATTTCGTGTACTCGTTCCACGACCGAACCCGAATCGACCACAGAGTCGAACGACAGTCATAGGAACGAGTGTCAAAGATTACTTTAATATTTATAGTCATTGATTTAATATTTAAAATTATGATAAATAACGTTTAATAATAATAATGACTATGGAGTCATTATTATTATCGACCATTGAATAGTCATTTCGAAATTAACCATTCCTATTAACGGTTTTACACTAATTTGACTTGACGTTATTCATTTAATATAATGACAATGGCATTAATTAAAAATAAACGTGATTTGAATAATAAATTTGTAAAATAATAATAAGTAATCACAAATTCATTACATTCGGCCGTCCGACTACGTGCGATCTCCTGACGCACGGTATATAATCATGGAAAGGTTTTATAAATTCAAATAGGTACATAACAAAATATTTTAGTTTCATGTGAACTAATTGTAACTTATCTATACATTTCGTTTTAATCAATAATTCATTACATTCGGCTGTTATTTGGATTCAGATTGATTTTGTGATAGTTCATTGTCACTTTTGTTACTTTCGCTATCAGACGTACTACTGCTGCTAGCTACTGCTTCTAAATTATCATTATGTTCGGACACATTTATATTGATCCACGGCGAATCCTGTCTACAAACTCGGTGCAATCCGTTACTACTTTCCACTATTTGAGATGCCTCTTCTAACCTTTGTACCTACTGCAGAACGCGGCTTATTATGTAAAATTCTAGTCCTCTTTGTCTGATTTTTTTTTTGGAGTTTCTATTAGATTAGAATTATGAGTTGTAACAGAATTATTAAATCAAACGTCAATCAAACACGTCGGGTTGCCAGGGTAACAATAAATAAGGGTCGTTTTGTTATTTATTTAACCAATACACATCGATTATTGGTCAAAGAGGTGTTTATGCCCTGTACAAGCTCTATTCACTGAATTACTATCACCTTGTTATAACGTATGTATAGTGATTTTTTTATTAGTAAGACCGGATATTTATACGAACTTCTTGCCTCACTTCTGTACAGTTTGGATTAGACTCATTATTTATATCTAACATATTACTTAGGCTATCTTCCAATCTGGTTCCAAATAATGCTTCCGTAGCTGTCTTTTGAGTGGTGGAGTTAGTTGCATTATTAATTCCTCACTGAATTTTTCCTACACACACATGTCGCAGTTCCGTTCGTCCTCACCGTCAGAAAACTTTACAAGTGAGCTTAAGATCGTTTAATTATATCTTCCGGCTTGGCCGTTGGCTCTGGGACACACAACAGCATTCAAAACATGTTTAATACCATGAGTATCGCAAAAAGATTTAAAAGCTGCTGAAGTGAAAGAGGTACCTCGATCTGATATAATTCGAGATGGTAAACCGAAGTCATAAAAATATTTAGCAATACCTTAACAGTTGTTTTAGTCTTTGTATCCTTAGCAGCTCTTACAAACAAATACTTGGTAAATCCGTCCACTATGGTGAGAATGTAAATATTGCCGTTCTTGCTTTTTGACAAATAGACCCAAGTGGTCAATGTGAATGGTGTGGACCGGAATGCTTACCCTCTCTATCGGATACAACTGACCATTCATATGTCGAGACGCGTTGTCCTTATGCCTTTTGCGTGCCTATAGGCACACTTAATGCAAGACTTATCATACTTTTTAACAATTCTACGTAACTTAGGAAACTAGAAAACAGATTGAATCTTCTCGGTAGTCTTTGATATTCCTAGATGACCTGCGTCATCGTGGTTAGATTTACACATTTGCCATCGAGCACTGCGAGGAATTACTAA